GGCGGAGGCACCAGCAAACCACCAGGTCCAGGAGTCCAGGGCCGTGCGCACAGAGAGCGAGGCTGGGAGAGTCACTGCAGACGAGGAACTTCAAGGCCCCTTGGACTGAACCGTTCTCTCCCCGTGTCACATTTGCTCCAGCGCAGCGCGCACCCCGTGAGGCACAGGGCCCGAGGGCAGCTCGGAGATGGACATCCCGCCCCGGCACAGCCCTGTACCTGTTATAGGAGGCAAGGAACAGCTGCAGGTTCTCCGGGTTAATGTCCTGTGCAATGTGCAGTCTGTAGGTCTGGATCAGGTCCAGGTTAGCCTGCAGCTCCTCCTGCGGGGGCGGGGAGGGGGAGAAGATACTGGGTCCTTAGCAGCCAGTGATCAAGGGAGCAGCAGGGTGCTGACTGGCCTGTGCCCAGACAGCTGGGCAGGCCCCCAAGAGCCACCTGCACTGGCTCTGAATAAAGAGGTCAAGGCCAGGGCGTCCAGGGCTATGCCCACCGCTCGCGAATGGGTGGAGGGATCTGGGGGCCTCCACGTGGTCACGCTCTCTCCAGGGCTGGCACTGCGCTGTGCCTGGAAATCGGCGAAACTCCCCCTCCCTGGGGGCCGGGCCCCTCTATGAAACTCCCCCTCCCTGGGGGCCGGGCCCCTTTACGAAACTCCCCCTCCCTGGGGGCCGGGCCCCTCTATGAAACTCCCCCTCCCTTGGAGGTTGGGCTGGTCCCCTTTACGAAACTCACCAACTCTCATCCCTCAGGACAAGCACACACCACACACTGGCGCCCAGAGGGGCTCCTGCTACCAGCACCCTGGCCTGGGCGGCACAGCGGGTCCCGCAGAGGGAATTTCTCCTGTCTGCGAGGTCTGCAGGAGGGGACGCCAGCCCAGATGTCCTGGCCACTAAAACAAGTTGAGCTCCAACCACTGAAAGAAGCGGAGCAGTTGACACCTCCCAGAGCTGTGATCTCAGGCTCACAGCAGGGATCGCAGTTCCTCAACCCGAAGGCGGGAAGAGCTGGGGTTCTGTAAATGAAACCTTAGACTTTGTGCTTCCCTTGGATGAAAATTTACCAGCCAATTCTAATGTCTGCCGACCAGCATCGTAACCCTAGAACGCAGGGCGGGCAGAGCCCTCAGGAGTCATCGAATCCAGGCCCCTGCCCAGGGCCCGACCAACCCAACTCAATCATCCCAGCCAGGGCTTGGTCAAGCCAGGAC